GCCAACAAATACATGAAGAAATGCTCCAAATCAGTGGCAAAAAAAGAGAGATGTAAATCAAAACCACAATGAGAAACCATCTCACTCCAGCAGCAGTTCCAAAGTTTAACAGGACAGCAAGTAATAAACATTGGAGAGGGTGTGGTGAGATAGGAACCCTTTTACATTGGTGGTGGGATTGTACAGTGGTAACCACTCTGGAAGGCAGTTTGGCCCTTCCTCAAAAAGCTGAACCTAGAAATTCCATATAACCCAGCTATTCCACTGCTTGGAATATACCCCAAGAAAATGAGAACCGAGGCTCAAACGGAAACGTGTTCATAGCAGCATTATTCACCATGGCAAGAATGTGGAAACATCCCAGATGTCCAACCACAAATTAAAGGATTGAGACGTTGTAGTACATTCTTACAATGGAATACAACGCAGCATGCAGGAGCAATGATTCTGCAATTTACTACCTAACTTGGGAGGAACTGGAGAGCATTATGCTGAGTGCATTAACTCAGTCTCACAAGCACAAATGCTGTATAAAACCATTATTGTAGAATGAGTATGAGAATCCAAAGTAGGAGTGGGGGTAGGGGGTAGAAAAAGAGGGGTGTGGATGGAGGTAAGGTATTACTCATAGGGTTGCACAATTTAATGGGGGGTGAAGGAAATGGGAAGGCTTGTTTGTGAAAAATAACATATTCAAACTTTTTAAAAAAATCAGAATTTGAAAAAAAAAAATACTTGATGTCTTTGAGTTGTGGTGTTGGAAAAGTCTTGAACTTACCATGGATCACGAAGAAAACAAATAGGTCTGTTTTGGAGAGGGTGAAACCAAGTTTTTCTTGGGGGCTAAGATTTTGAAGCTCTGTCTCACATACTTTGGGCATGTGACCAGGAAGTCCTTGGAGAAGGACACCATACTCAGAAGGGTTGAAGAATAGCACAGGAGAGGAAGACCCCAGATACAGACTCAGTCAGACTGGCTTAAGACAGGGCAGGCTTCTGAGCTGTAGTACATAGGGTCGCCATGAGTCACAGGTGACTAAACGGCACATTACACCAACAACAACAGTAAAAATAACAAACTATTTTATGCCATACAAGGGCATGTATGTGATTAGGATAAGATATTCCTTGGAGAGAGGCATCATGCTTGGAAAGGTGGAGAGTTAGCAAGACAGATTGATACAATGCCTGTGGCAACAGGCTCATGTATATCAGGGATAATGAAGATGTTGGACAGGGTTCAAATATATTCCTTATCAGAATACTTGATTCCAGGGTACTTAACAACAAACCATGTTCGGGATGGTGAAGGATCAGATGTTGTTGTTGTTGTTGTTGTTATGTGCCATCGAGTCGCTTGTGACTCATAGCAACCCTATGTACAACAGCCCTAAACCCTGCTCTATCCTGTGCCAATCGCATTGCCTCTGACAAACCCATCCCGATTACCCCAGTC